CCCGTACCTAAGGGAATGACTTCAGGGTGTTGAGAGCGCGAGTTGTTGCCGTATAGTGTCACAGAGAACTAACGATAAAACTGATAAACAGGTGGAGGACCACCCCCTGCTGGGCTGCCAGTCTGTACAAAGATGGTGCAAGATCCTTGGCGTGGACTTACCTGTCCTGTCTGGCATCTCTGGCGGTTTAGAGAGTGAAGCTGAGCCAGTGGAGTGGATTACACAGCGAGACAACATTATAGTCTCGTATCAGCACAGCATAAAATTAAACACCACTAGTGGCTTAGAGGATACATGATTATTTTAACATCATAAGAGACATAATGTGTAATAACATAATGATATAATCGACACGTAGACCTCTCCAGCACAACACACAGGAAAAGCAGCCTCAACACAGTCAGAGCACCAGCAGAGCGCTAACCCAAGCAACAGCCACGTGAGGATTTATTGCTCTTTGTTAACAATTGTGTTTAAGGCTAAAAAATACAATTCTTAATTAGACCTTGAACAGCCTCTATTATTTTTAGACTATTTCTTAATTTCTCCAAAAAACTTGTGTATTCCAAAAAACCACAAACACCCTCTCGATCCGCTACAAGGGATGAAGTGTTACAAACTGCAGAGAGAGGTCCTGCAGTTACAGAAAGAAAAACTGCAGCTAGAAATTGATCAAATCAAGAAGAAGGAAAATCACGAGCTTTACAACATAATTCTTAAAGACAAACTTTTGCAGCTACAAAGTGAAGGGAAAATAACAATCACATCAATTGATGAATAAATATATTAACAAAAGAGTAATTATAACAACAACTATATATAATAAATTACTAATAATGGAACTAATAATAATGACACTACTACTAATAATAAACTTTTATATTACTTACAAGTTTCTCTTACCGCTAAATAGCCTATTTTATCATTAATATTGCCACAAATCATATATTTTATTAATAGTATTATTACTGCCACAACTACTATACACCTAATTAAAAAATGCATTCACGATGGCATCTCTGACAGCATATCCAGCCTGCTGAATATCATGTTGCAGAATCGGATGCACTTCTTCATGACCCTCTTCTTTCTCATGCTCATCCTCCTCTTCAAAGGCAGAATACGTCTTCAAAAGGTTGAAGAGTACAACACAGGCTATGATAATTTTGCAAGCTTTTGGAGGCTCAACACGCAATTTGCTGTGGAGAGAGTGAAACCTGCATTTCAGCTGACCGATCGTCCTATCAATTATCGACCTTGTGTGTGTCAACGCATTGTTGTACCTTTCCTACAGGGGTAAATCAATGACCATCATCAGTATCAACAATGCTTTAAGATAAATAATATGAAGGTAAATTAGTGCATGAAAGATTTGCATGCAAGTTCATTTTTCTTTTTGCGCCTACATTGTAAAAATGAAAATCAATCTCATGAAAATATCCATTCTTTTAGACTTAGGCCTACAACTTAATTTACATTTTTACAAAGCTTACTTTGCGCACACAAATCTAGGCACAAAATTTACATTCATAAAATAGACATGAGTCTTTATTAATTACATGCCTGTGCAGCATTAAGCGGATTCATGCATGAAGGGCGTCATGAGCCATGGTCGCCAGGGGTAACCACTTTCCCCGAGTAGAAGACCACTGTGCATTCCAGCTTCAGTGCATTCCAGCGCCTGTATCCTAATATGTGTGCCGTCAACCATACCACATATTCGAGGAAAACCTGCTTTCCGAAAAAAACTGGTTTGAATAACCTCTTGTTCAGGACCAGATGGAAACTTGACCGTTTGGTTTAAATGATGGCAAAGAGCCCCTGCAACCCGGTGAATCACTCAGATTTATGTACGTGGAAAACATCTCCCACTACCGACTGGAAACTCCCACTTGCAAAGAACCGCAGTGCTATCAACTAGGGATGTAACGATTCACTCAACTCACGATTCGATTCACGATTTTGATTTCACGATTCGATTTGATTCATGGTTTTTAAATTTTTTTTTACAAAATTAGATTTAAGACAAATTATAAATTAAATGTGTCCTTTTATTATTGCTTGGACAAAATGCTGCACATTTCTTTGTGAAATTGAAATATAATACTATAATAATATACTAATATAGCACTTGCATATTACTGCTCTTTTGTTGGTAAGCGTTTCCTTGGTTTCCGCTGTAAACAACGCAGTGCTGCACTTATGAACTTTAATATGCATTATACAGAGGCAAGATGAATAGAAAAAATACCATCTAAACTTTTCTAAAGACAGTAAGTTCCTCTCAGACATGCATTCATATAAACTCCTACCCCTAAATGAATCGCGATTTGTTTAGCATCTCAACCGATTTAAATCGTCACATATTTGAATCGATTTTCAACTGGCTCGCGGTTAATCGTTACATCCCTACTATCAACAGTTGTAGCACCGCAGGTAGTGAGTGGTTGCGCTGCGTGACATGATCAAGGTCTCCTTCCAGTTTGTTAGCGATGTCAAATATTGCGCGACAATCAAATCTGTATTGCTGCAACAGTTTTTCATCGCTAAGATGGTCCAAAGGGTTCTCCCTATCGTGGAAAAATCGCCTTGGCACTTACTCATCTTCAGCTGGTTCCATAAACTCAGCCATGTTTTTATTTGTGTCTGTGTAACTTTTAAGGTAAAGTTTTTCAAACCTTAAGTTATACTTAGGGAAATTAACGTTAAGGGGCTTTATGCAATACTTAACGGTTTTTAAGGGATTACTTTAGAGAAAAATATAGGAGAACACATAGGGGAAATTTTAAGGGTTTATGTTGTTTCACTTAAAGAAAACCTTAAAGGGATAGTTTACCCAAAAATGAAAATTTGATATTTATCTGCTTACCCCCAGGGCATCCAATAATGCAGTGATACAAACAGTGAAACGGTTCCCGTGGCGATACTGGTGAATATCAAAGAGCTCTCAGCCAATCAGATTCCAGGACCAGAATGAACTGTGTGTGGGAAGCAGTGATTTCTTTAACTGGGTATGATATTAATTTTTTTAATTTATCAGAGACGAGAAAGAAGAAACACAACAGCAGGAGTCGATTTAAAAGTAAGGCTGAAAGAATGTGAAGCTGACGTCACGCCGCGTTGAGTTCTGTGAAACTGCTTTGTTTATCCGCCATACTGGGAGGATTGCACTGCCTTTACGCTATTGAGTTTAGGGCAGTATTTAGATTTTCTGTCGTGATTGTGAAAAATGTCACCATTGTATGTCATCAAGAATTGCAATAGTAACTCAGATCATTGAGTTTTTTTTCCCGCCTTTTCTATGTGTAAAAACACCAAGGGAAGCAGGTTATGGAGATGACGAGAAGACGCCGGATAGTAAAAATATTAATAATGTCACTGATTAAACCCACTGCCTATCACTCAATAACAGAATTACATTGCTGCATGTTTTTGAAAGATTTGTTCAGAACTTGAACCGTAATCCTAACGCTGAACACGAATAACACTTAATGTGGCTTAATGTACCAGGACAGTGATAAAGACCAAATTGTAAAGCATACTATGTGAAGATTTACATATGAGCCCAAAATATGAATGCAACACGTTTATTTACACGTTAAGCGTTTACCTCTCATATAAAGAAAACACTTAATGCACCGAGACAAAAATGGGGCGTGAGGGGCGTCGTCCCCTCACCCAAGATGAGTGTGAAAATAGATTTTATTTATAAAATATAATGGTTTATTTAAAAACAGTTGCCAAATGCATAGGCTTTCTAGCATTAATATGATGCTACTATAGCAATAATTTAGGACAGTCCGTTTCACAAAGTTGCATTTTATTTGTTACATCTGACACAAACTTTCCGTGCAAGCGGTTCAACTAAGAATGCAGCACTACTGAGTAAGCTAAAGGTATGATAAAATAATTATTTTATGTTTAATAGAGGGCTAGATGGTCGTAGTTAGTTGATTGTTTTGCTGTATTGTTATTGTTTGTTGCTGTTCAAGTTGTTCTAACTTAACTCAATACCGTGATAAAAGCATTAGCAATTCATCGCAACATGAAAATCTGATACCGGCATATCCCTAGTTGCCTATGAGATTTTGTTTTGTTCAATAGCTACTCTGCCATCTGTATTTGCGAAGTACCTTTTAGTAGGGTCATTCACTCAGAACGCATATTTCATTCCACTGCGGTACTTTTCTATTGTATTTCAAACTAAATGCGCTATGGACGTCTTTGAATTTGTGTTTGAATGCCGCGCTCGTCTCAGGTCTTTATAGCAGCTTTTCGCACATAATACATCATTCTAAAACATGGCGCTCAAGTACAAAGAAATTCAGCTTCTAAAAACACATCTCTAGACCTTGCGGTTAAAAAAAAAATAATGCTTCCACTGACCAAGTCTCGCGACCAAAACACTATCAGTGTGAACCCAGTATTCTAATAGTAGCGGGCAGGTTTGTTTACGGTCCGAATTCGTTTCCTCCTGATTATTTTCATTTTTCATTTGCATTTTGCTCTTTTGTATTTTTTAATCTCATGAATAATTCACTGAATGCTCTAAGAGTCTCTGGTCTTTACGTCTCTTTCCAGGTTTGTTTTAATCAGATGCTTTAAAATGTAATTGTCTCTTATTCATTTCTGATCTCTGTTATCAAGAGTTTCTAAAGCAGGTAAAGACAATATCTGTTATCTGTCAGAATGATGGGAATCATGAACATTTCTGACGGTTAATAAAGCTCCACTCGGGAAACTCAGATATTCTTATGGAAACTTAAACCTGGCTTTATGCTAAATCATTCCAAAATATGCTAGCAATGTGATGATAATACTAGCAACTGCATAGCAACACCCTAGCAGCCACCCAGAACATGTTATCAACAGCATAGCAACCACCCCAAATACCATAGCAACCACTCATTTAAGCTTCATTTCTGTCTAATATTTTTTAAATCTGTCAAACTAAAACTAAAACGGTTCACTGACTGAATGTGACTCTGTGTGTTTTCTAGTGTGGATCATGGAGGAGAATCCAGGATTACAGCAGGACTACAGAAATGTACGTCTACACACACACACGCACTCTCTCTCTCTCTCTCTCTCTCTCTCTCTCTCTCTCGCTCTCTCTCACACACACACACTCACACACACACACACACACACATAGCTGTAGTGATTGTTGTTGTGTTCTAAATGTCTCTGTTCTTGTGTTTAGATGCCTGTTTTCTCACACTGGATCCAAACACTGCACACACTCGTCTCATTCTGTCTGAAGAGAACAAAAAGGTGACAGATGTGAAAAAGAAACAGTCGTATCCTGATCATCCAGACAGATTTAATGTGTATCCTCAGGTGTTGTGTAGAGAGAGTGTGTGTGGACGCTGTTACTGGGAGATTGAGTGGAGTGGTGTTGTGTATATATCAGTGTCATATAAGAGCATCAGCAGGAAGAGAGGTGTTGAGTGTTGGTTTGGATCTAATGATCAGTCCTGGAGTTTGTTCTGCTCTTCCTCCAGTTACTCATTCAGACACAATAACATAAAGACTCGTCTCCCTGTGAAGCCCATCATCAGTAGAATAGAAGTGTATGATTATGTCAGTAGAATAGGAGTGTTTGTGGATCACAGTGCAGGAACTCTGTCCTTCTACAGCGTCTCTGACACAATGAGCCTCATCCACACAGTCCAGACCACATTCACTCAGCCGCTCTATCCTGGGTTTTACGTTTGGTCTGAATCATCAGTAAAACTGTGTTGATGAATCAGAAGAGACTGACGAGAGATTCTACCCATAATGTTGTGAACTGCATGATAAATCAGTAACAGTGAGATGCTATAGTCCAGGGATCCTCAAATCTGGCCCACGAGATCCACTTTCCTGCAGAGTTTAGCTCTAACCCTAATCAAACACACCTGAGCAAGCTAATCAATGTCTTCAGGATCATTAGAAAATCACAGGTAGGTGAGTTTGATCAGGGTTGGAGCTAAACTCTGCAGCGCATTGGCCCTCCAGGGTAAGATTTGAGAAACCCTGCTATAGTCTCTTCATGACATTAATACTGCTGCTGAACTTCTGTCACTGAAATAACAGTCAGAATAAATGTGGGTAACGCTTTAGATTACAACCCGCTGATGTTGTAACCCGCTGTCGGTGCGTCTAGTCTGTTTATGCCTCGTCAAGTCTGTTTATGCCTAGTCAAATTCCTGAAAGACATTTTCCGTTTTGGTTTGGACAAAAACATTTCACAGTTA